TGTTAGTTGATGTGCCACTATTTTATTTTATTTTATTTTTGTTTTTTGAGACAAGGTTTCTCTGTGTGTACTTGGCTGTCCTAGAATTGCCTTTGTAGAACAGGTGAGCCTTGAACTCAGATATCTGCCTGTCTCTTATTCCTGGGTGCTGGAATTAAAGGCATGCACCACCACACCAAGCCTGCTTTTTATTTTTTAATTAAAATTTTAATGTGCACACTCATGGGTGGTGTATGTGTGTGTGTGGAGGTGTGCATGCTTCTGAATGTGTGCCTGTGGGGGCCAGAGGTCTCCATCAGGTGTCCTTCTCTGTTGCTCTCCATCTTGTTTTTTGAGACAGAGTGTCTCTCTGAGTTTGAAGCTCACCAATTGGACACAATGTCAAGTGAGTCCCTAGGAACCTTTTGTCTCTGCCTGCTGGGATTATAGCATGTGTTGCTATGTCTGCCAATGCGGGTGTTGGAGATCTGACTTGGGTCCTCATTCTTGTGTACCAAGCATTTCACTTACTAATACATCTCCACAGCTCATTGTGTTGTATCTTGAGCACTGACTTACAACATTTGTAATGCCATAGATTCCATGATGTTAACACTTTGTGGTACCTTTTCTTTTATTGTTCTGATATTATAGCATGTGTGTTATAACATGTCTTAAATATGTCTTATTATTTGCATTTTTGCTTTGTGCACTTTAGTAGCAGTGTTATAGTAGAAAGAATATATAGTTAGAAAATCAAGTAAATAGTAGCATTAGCCATAAATCTTGATCACCATATAACATATTTTGCAAAAGGGAGGCTTTCTGAAATAGAAGTTATTCTTAACAAGGTCTGACTTGCCTTCCCTTGTCTTCAGTATCTCAAGTTTCCTAGATCTGAGGTGGACTCCACATTCATTGAGAAAGATCAAACACCATAGTGTGCTACTGAGAAATGACTTTTTTACAACTCAGTTTAGTTAACTTTCCTGAACAGTAAGCAATTCTTGAACATGGGGTAAGAATTCATACAGAGAGATAAAGTTCAAGCTTATCACCAAGAATGTACAAAAACAAACATACAAACAAACAAAACAGCCAAAAAAAAATCAAAGCAAAAGCATGTCAACATGATGCTCAGGATACGAAGTAGAGAACTTTTAAGTCATCTCCTAAATACACAAATGCATTTTTTTTTAGTAGACTCTAAGATACTCTACATAGGAGACAATAGGAAGACTTTGTTAAGGGAAGCAGTGTAGTTACAACAGGCTACACCATCGCCCATGGCAGTTGAAAAAGATAGTTTACTAGAACTGAGAGTGTTTCAGAGCCTGGGGAGCTAAAAGAGAAAACTGTTATCCAGTAGATACTGGTGGAAATTTCCAGAACATGTTCATTGGCAGCAGAGTGGGAGACAGACTTGGCAGTACCATAGCAGGAAAAGATCATGAGTGTTGACTTGTAGGCTATCCATTGAACAGCCATAGTAAACTGTAGTTTAGGTACCCAGTCTGATTTATGACTTGTTTTTTTTTAATACAATTTTCATACTTTTTAGTGATTGAAAACAAATCAGGACACAAAATACTTTGACAATTAGAACATATTTAAATATTGGTCTCTAGATATGAAAACATACAAGGACACACCTGTGCTCTGCATTGGTTGTGTATTGTCTGTGGCTGCTTTACGACACAGTGACAGAACTGAGTAGCAGTAGCAGACAACCCACAGCCAAAAAACCAAACAGATCTCTCACTTTAACCTTCACACAAAAGCTGCTCAAGCTCCGGCTGAGGAATCTGCTGACCATTCTTCAGGATCACCAAGTCATGGACATCGTGACTGTGCTTGCTAGAACAGCGGGGCTACTGAGCTGCTGAGCTGGGGCAGTTGGCCCTGATTAATGCCAGGGAGAATAAATAAGAAATCTGAGAGCCTCTGTTGTGGACAGGGTGCTGACTGGGCTCAGTAGCTGCCTGTTCTGACAAGCTCTCCTCAGGAGCATCAGACTCCTTATGTAATCACCACAGCCTGCCAGCAGGCTTGCTGGCTGTTCCACCTCCCCCTCTCCCTCACATTTTGCTGTCATTACCTTTCTTTTTTAGTGATGTTCTAAAAATGATATCCTAAGAAATGATATTGATAACACAATATTGGGCCTATTACTTCTCTTCCAGTAAATTAAGGCCAGTCAAATATATCTATACCTCATCTCCTATATTTATTCAACTTCTCACCAATCACACATTTCCCCCAAATGAAAAGAAAAATTAGAAAGCAATTTGGCAATTTGAATTTATTGAAAGAATTAGAATTCAAAAAGTCTTCCTGAAGGTGAATTTAGGTGAATTATACTAAGTTTTGGAGTGGCAAAGAAGTGTTTGAACATGATACCTGATATAGGACATGCACCTGATACAGGAGCATCCACTGACACGAGAAATAGATTTATTTATCCATTTTGTTGATTTTTTTAGAACTCTTTCCAACCATATCTACTTTGGAACAATTTAGTAATGAATGACTTGCTGAGAAAAAGAAAGGTAACTAAGAAATGATATGCTATACCTTAACAAAGGGAAAAAAGAAACAAAGTTATTTGGCATGAAAAACAATGTTACAGATTGGGGAAGGAAGATAGAGTGTTTCAAGTGGCAAATGTCTTGGTATCACTATTACTATCAATGATTAAAATAATTATGATAGATGCTACTGGTATTTGTATATTTTTTCATATAGCATTCAATGTAATAAAATGACCTACCATTTTTACCTCCACTGAGCTCATCCAGTTAGGAGTGGGAATAAGAATCTTTGTTTTTCATACAGAGAAAACATGTGTGAGAATTGCGTTTACTGGGATAGAGAAGTTGGTGGCATCATGCAGAAATACACTTTCATAATTGTTTGCCTAAATTGTTTTAACTGGATTCTTTGTCTTTATCCCATGATACCCTTCCTAACACCAAAGAAAGCATGCCACTCAGATACTGTGGGGATCAGGAAAGGAAGCCAGAGTGGTACCTTGGCACGGTAGTGAAATGAAGAACACACACACACACCTCAGACCTGATTTTCCTTAGTCAGTTTTTAAATCTTTATAAGCTCTCTTTATCATCTCTTTTCTCCCTCTTCTCCATTCAATTCAAAAGCCTATTTATTATTTAAAGAATCTATCATAAAAATAAAACATGCATAGATTCAAATGAAAGTTGTGTTTATTTCTTATTCTCCTTACTGCTAGTGATTCAGCACCCCTATATTTTTATTATGCATATACAATACAGTTACCTTAAATAATAGAAGGTAAAATACATCTCATTTGTATTTATCATATTTTTTATTAAATGGATAAATTGACCACTTTCATGTTAATACAAGCAGATTTGAACTCATCAATTTAGTGACTGCTTTGCTTGGATTTCTGTATAGATTTAAAAAGTCACTGTCGAACACATAACACATACAACTTCTACTTCATATCTCAGCATAGTAGCCATATACTTTTCGCTATCCTATCCCGATTTCTGTAACATAAATATATATTCTTTATCTGGCATGCATGGACATTCATTGATAACCTTCTCTCCCTGTATCAACACCAAAGTCTTGCTTACGTCTGCTGTATGCATCTCCTGTCTTCTGCAACAGATGAATAGCAAGCATTCAGAGATACAAGGGGCAGGAACCAGGCTGGTGAGCTTCTGAGGCACAAGCGTACATGGAAAAAATAAGCACCTCATAGAAAAGTATTTTTATGCTATAGTAATTGCCATTCCAGGAACAGGTGTTTGGAACCCTACTCAAGAGAGAATTGGTGATCAAAGAAGTCAGACAGAGAACACTGAAGTTTCCATGGCTACCGTCCCATGGGAAAAGCATAACAAGAAGGGAGGGAAACAACGAGGCTCCCATGGGCCTAGATGCTAGGACAGGCAAGATCCTGTGAAGATGGTAACACCAATTTTCCCTACTTAGTGCACAAAGATGTAATGATGGTGCTGAAAGACCAATGCGATAGTATTTCCTGGTGGTCCTATACACAAAGCAATGAGTCCTCTTAATTTGTGTAGGTAAATCATATTTATTGTAAAGTACTCTGCAGTTTGCAAGAAGCTTCCTGCGCTCACTGGGGTGCTGTAGACAGGATGGGTGTCCTGTGCCTTATTGATAGGTGAAGAAACTTAGCATCTGAATGGTTGGAGCCTGAGTCAGAGCTGGTAAGGAACAGTCTGGAAGTAGAATCCTCTTTAACGGGGATTCAAGACCAGGGATTCCTCCACCAGGACATCACATTCTCTCCATCTTTTATGTATTGGACAAATAGTATTCTAGAAAGAAAGAAGCCCATTTCACTCAATTTATAGACATGAGAAATTAAAAAAAATAGCAGCATTATAGTCAAAAGCCTTACCAAGCAGTGCCTTTCTTTTATTTATTTACTTCCTTAGCATTTGAATTTGCTTAGCAACTAGAATATATAATCTGAATGGCTGGCAATTCAATCAACCAAACAAAAGTCAGGTCTGCCAACAGGTCTTAAGACTATGCATTGAGGGGAAGACAAAGTCACAGAGAAAGGGCTCCTAAAATATCACAGAAGCACACAGGTAAATATTAGCTCTAACACTAGGGCTTTTAGGAGGCCTTCCTTATTCCCTTCTCTGTGCCCTCAAGGTTAGGGTTGGGATTTAACAGCTAACTCACACAGAATCCTTATGTACATGCCAGGCAATCGTGTCACTATTCTACATATATAACTTTTGTTTAGCCCTTACAAATAATCCTATGATATAGAGACCATTCCTATCATCTTTGTGTTATAAATAAAGAAACTACAGCATGGAAGAGTCAAATGACTTGCCTGACATCAGACAGTTAGAACCAGGGTTTGTCTCAGCAGCTGAAAGCCAAGACAGCATGGTACCATCTGAATGTCCAGCCTTCCTAACTTACCTAAAGTGTAGAGGAGGAATGTAATACCACCTAATCCACCTATTTGCTTCCTTTCTCAGGCCACCTGTGGTGAGGGCCAGGAAGAGAACCTGTGTGGAGCCCTGGGTTATTGGCCTCATCTCTTTTTTATCCCTAATTGCCCTGGCTGTGTGCATTGGACTCACTGTACACTATGTCAGATACAGTAAGTATGGGATGCCCTGGTATCATGTGACTTGCTCCTGCTGTTTCCTCATGGAATTTCCTGTTTTGGCTTGCCTCAGGGTTGTTTCCACATCACTATGATTTATTTGCATAGCTAAGAACACTTGGACTGCTTTGTTTTTCATTTTAATCTCCACGAACCAAGGAGGACCCACTTTTCCATCTTTAATGGGACATTGCTTCCTGCTAGGAATAGAATGCTACTTTTCGTAGTAACTGATAAGGGAGTCTTATATAGGGGTAGACCACAGGTTAGCTCGAATAGAATGTTTTGGGTTAGTCACAGGATAATAACCTTGATTAAAAAAAATCTAGTTCATCAAAATCTTAACACTCCAATGAATGAATTAAACAATGAAATATCATGTAAGGCTAGCCAGGCATTGGTGGCACACACCTTTATTTTTTTATTTTTTTAATTTTCCAGTTTAAATTTAGATAAGAAACAAGGTTGTTTCACAAGTCAGTTCCAGGTCCCTCTCCCTTTCCCTCCCCTCCTCCCGTGTCCTCCCCCAACCCCCCCCCCCCGTTATCCCCTAATTCCCCCAGGGAGGGTGAGGCCCTCCATGGGGTATCCATAGTCTGTCATTTCATATAGGGCAGGGCCTAGAACCTTCCCCAAGAGTTCAGGGTGAGAGTGCACCTCACATTGTTCTATGGGAGTCCAAAGTCCGTGTGTATACTTGGGATGGGTACTGATCTGCTGCCCAAGGCTCAATAGATTACCTAGGCCTCCTCACTAACACCCAGATTCAGGGGGTCTTGATGAGTCCCATGCTGGATTCCCAGGCTGATGCCTGGGATTCATGAGTTAACCTTTGTCTGGTCCACTGTTTTTTCTGGGGGTTAAACCAGCCCAGTCTTAATCCCTTTGGTCATCAGTCCTCCCTCTCTGTTACTGGCTTTCTTGAGTTCAGCTCAGTACTTAACCAAGGGGAGTCTGCCTCTTCTTCGATCAGCCACTAAATGAAGTTTCTGTTTCCCAGACTCTCTGGCCATAGGATTGTAGGCTGGCACTCCCCAGATCTATGTCTAAAATCCATATATGAGAGAGTACATGCCATGTTTCTCTTTTTGTGACTGGGTTACCTCACTCAGGATGGTTTCTTCTAGTGTCATCCATTTGCCTGCGAATCTCATGATTCCATTACTTTTTTCTGCTGAATAGTACTCCATTGTGTAGATGTACCACATTTTCTCTATCCACTCTTCGGTTGAGGGACATCTAGGTTGCTTCCAAGTTCTGGCTATTACAAATAAAGCTGCTATGAACATAGTGGAACAGACATCTTTGTTGTATGAATGGGCATCTTTTGGATATATGCCTAAGAGTGGAGTTGCTGGGTCTTGTGGTAGGTTTATTCCCATTTTTCTGAGGAATCTCCATACTGATTTCCAAAGTGGCTGAACCAGTTGGCACTCCCACCAGCAATGGAGGAGTGTCCCCCTTTCACCACATCCTCTCCAGCATAAATTGTCATTGGTGTTTTTGATTTTAGCCATTCTGACAGGAGGGAGATGGTATCTCAGAGTTGTTTTGATTTGCATTTCCCGGATGGCTAAGGATATTGAGTACTTTCTCAAGTGCCTCTCAGCCATTTTAGACTCCTCTATTGAAAACTCTCTAGTTCTGCAGCCCACTTTTTAATTGGGTCCTTTGATGTTTTGGGGATTTGCTTCTTGAGTTCTTTGTAAATTTTGGAGATCAACCCTCTGTCAGATGTGGGATTAGTGAATATTTTTTCCCATTCTGTGGGCTGCCTTTTTGCCTTGCTGACTGTGTCCTTTGCCTTACAGAAGCTTCTCAGTTTCAGTAGGTCCCATTTATTAATTGTTGATCTCACTGTCTGTGCTACTGGTGTTATGTTCAGGAAGCTGTCTCCTGTACCAATTCGTTCAAGGGTACCACCCACTTTCTCTTCTAAGAGGTTCAGTGTGGCTGGATTTATGTTGAGGTCTTTGATCCATTTGGACTTAAGTTTTGTGCATGGCGATAAACATGGATCGATCCGCATTCTTCTACATGCCAGTCTCCAGTTATGCCAGCACCATTTGTTGAAGATGCTTTCTTTATTCCATTGTATATTTTTAGCTTCTTTGTCAAAGATCAGATGTTCGTACGTGTGTGGGCTAATACTCGGGTTTTCAATTCGATTCCATTGGTCTACCTGTCTATTTTTGTGCCAATACCAAGCTGTTTTCAGAACTACAGCTCTATAATAGAGCTTGAGGTCAGGGATGGTGATGCCTCCGGACGTTGCCTTGTTGAACAGTGTTGTTTTGGCTATCCTGGGTCTTTTGTTTTTCCATACAAAATTGATTATTGTTCTTTCAAGGTCTGTGAAGTGTTAAGTGAAGCTTTTTCTTTGCTAACTGCTTTGGTATATCCCCCGCCAGTCGCCTGGGCTCTGCCGCGCCAGCCTGGTTCTAGATCTGCATCAGTCCCAAATAAACACACAGGAGGCTATATTAATTATGAAGCTGTTGGCCTTGCTTGTTTCTTACTAGCTACCTCTGACTTAAGTAATTACCCCATAATTGTTAATCTAAGTATTTCTCTTACCGGAGAGGTTTCCGGGCTTCCTACCCCAATGGTTACATCTCGAACTCTCCTGTGTTTCTCCTTCCCAGAATCCTCCTGGACTCCTAGCCCCACCTATCTAGATTCCTATAGGCTCAACAGTACTTTATTGACAAATAACAGGCAAATAACAGGACTTCCCCAACAATGAAGAATGGCACACACCTTTAATCTCAGCACTTGGGAGGTAGAGGCAGGCAGATCTCTGTGAGTTTGAGGCCAGCCTGGTCTACAGAGCGAGTTCCAGGATAGCCTCCAAAACAATACAGAGAAACCCTGTCTCGAAAAACCAAAAAAAGAGAAATATCATGTAAGGCTAAACTGTATTCTTCACTAAGTAAGTTGGAAAGGCATTCACAATGGTGTATGGTTAAATAAGTGCCTATGTTTTTTAAATCTTATCTTGGAATGTTGCTGATGACAGATGATAAGATATGCTGATGTTAATTATGAGGAGGTTCACTTTGTGGTTATGAGGTCTCTCACTGCCAGATGAACTGCTAGTTGCTGTTATTAAGAAGGTACCCAGGGGACTACAGAGCTATTCTTCCAGGATGTAACAACCCTTCTGAAGTTTCTCTGTACTGTGCCTTGAGTTTTAATTAGTTGACTCAACTACGACCTCTTAGTTTAATATCTCCCTGGTGATTATGTTTTGATATTGAAGGCCTTGAAACCATAGAAGCTACTCACTTGATTTTAATTTAATTGGGAATCTGACACAGGTGCTTTCCTATATAGAGCAACAGTGATCTGTAACCTGATTATGTTCCTTTACTATCTACAAAGTGCAACTTCAATTTCCAGACCAAGGTGGATATATCACTTTTGGTTGGTTTAAAGAAAAACAATGCTTAAAACAGATTTTTGAGGTGGTATTTATGTACATGCAGGTCTTTAAAATTGGGATGTCTTTATTTTGATAATAGAAGAATATTTAATACAAAAAGTTGCTAAAATAGCATTACAAAATACATATCTGTTATGAATATACAGAGCATTATTATGCTGCAAGCATTGTTATTTCTCAATGCATGTATAAGGCTGTCATTTATTCATTTTTATATTTCTAAAATTTTGAGTATTCCTGGCATGAATTAGAACCATTATAAGTATTTATTTACTATTGAGTGATAAAAATAAATGACACTTTTTCTTTAGGATTATTGGGTTTCATAAGAAACCCCTAGTAACATTAGAGACTTGATCCCTTTTGTGAGAGAAAAACATCTTCTTACATCTCCTTTGCCTCTTTATAAACCAAGTTTTATAAGATTTTGTGTCTTATTCACATGTGTACACTGAAAACCAGGTCATGTTTTCCAGTAACTGGTTGCTATATCATACTGTTTGGATGATCAGCTCAAACACTGCAGCACATAACTTCCAGTACCCACGCAACACACCTGAATAAACAATGATTCTAGTGTGTTACTATTTTGTATGTGTGACATTTTGTATGTGTGACGTGTGATGTACCATCTGGGGGTGAAAACTAGCAACCGGGTAGCTAAAACATTCAGGAGCTCACATGCCAAGGTAAATAGATGTGTTACAGTGTAGACATGTGACTAGATTTGGGAAAACATCATCTTGAACCTCACATTATGAATTGAGGACAGCTTAGAATTGTTTGTGTATCTCCTGTCCTGTGCCTCTGGGGTTATATTTATACTTTTCTGTACTCTGGATGTCAGGTGGAGCTCTTAGTGAACAATATCACTGTTAAGTTGTAGAATTTCTAGCCTGTTAGAAAATTATCAAAGACTCATGTTTGTCCATACTTTTAATATAATTGATATTCACTAAATGACAAGAGATAGCATATAATACTAGAAGCTGGAAATATTACTAAAACTCAGTGGCCTGTTTAAGTTCACAGAGCAAAGTCCAACATTGATTTTCTAAATAGTTCCTGTGATTGATCCATGAGAAAGTTCTGATTGTTGACCATACTTGCCTTTTAAAAGGGCAAATTCAAATGATCCACTCTATAATTTAAAAAGAAAAAGCTGTGCTTAAGTGAATAAAGGGAACTTTACTCTCTTCTTGATAACATTGATATTTAATGTTTGATTGAGTACTGAATACATCAGCATCATCTTGGAACATTTAGAAATTCAAATTTTTCATGTACGATTATCTTGCTTTGCCAGGATTCCCAGGTGGCCCATCTATTTACACATTACAGCTTCAGAAGCACCATTACAAACTAAACAATGCAGCCTAGTAGATAGTTATAGTTAAGCATGAGACAGATGTTTCAAATGCAAACTAGAGCTGGAGAGATGTTCTAATAGGTAAGAGAGGTTACTGCCCAAGCACAAGTGTCTTGATTTTGATTTCTTAGCAGGTGTGGTCACAAGTGTCTGTAACTTTGGGGGTGGCGTATAGAGATGGACAGATCCTAGGAGCTTGCTGTTACTCAGCAAGCAGAAAGAGGGCTTCCGGTTCAGGGTGAGATCCTGTCTTGGGAGAGTGATAGATAACATCATTCCATCTCCCTTGGCTTCCACATATGGATGTACTTGTGTGTGCATGCACACAGAGACATAGACAAAGACAGACAGACAGACAGACAGACACGCCATATTACCCAACAAGGTAAAATGAAATACAAAATAGAATAACATCCGTTTACAAACTTTTATTTCAAGCACATATATTTCAGGGACTTGCCTGTTATTCGTGTCATCTTGGTCATTCAAGGCCAGGTTTGTGTAGGAGAAATAACAAAATTGGCCACTCTCCCTTGTCCCTCACTTGATTTAGGAATGCTCAGAAGCCTCTGAACTTTCATTGTCTCCAACCTACTCTTTCTCTTCATACATCATCATTTGTTGTTTAGGCCTGTTAGAGTGACCACCAATTTCTCCTCCTGTTCTGCCAAATTCTCTAGATGAACAAGACATTATCTTTGTGTTTACCAGGGCTTTTTGAATTAATATTATAATAAAAACTGCATAAATTTAGGGGCCTGCAAGAAGGTTCAGTGCCCCAAAATGCTGGCCATGTCTTATATCTGACTGCCCTTTTGATTTTGATGTAAAGGTGTAGGGAAAGAGACGAATCCAGAAAGTTGTCCTTAGACCTCCACATGCTTCCCATGGCTCTTGTGCCACACACACATACCCTATGCACACACACATGTGTGTGTGTGTGTGCATGTGTGTGTGTGTTGGGTTGGTTTTATAAGACAGGGTTTTTTTGGGTAACAGGCCTTGTGGTGATGTTTTGTTTATGATATAACAAATGAAGCTTGCCTGAAGATCAGAGAAGTAAAATAGCCAGCCACTAGAGGGTTCTCACCTCTACTACTGCTCAGACCAAAACTGGCCATCCACCAAACCTCAGATTACATCTCCAGACTGCAGAGCTTTTCACACTGCACTGAGCTCCTGTCTCCTCCTACCTTATATTCCTCTCTAGTTCTGGGATTAAAGGTGTGGAATCCCAAGTGCAGAGATCACCTTTGTCTGAGCTTTGTTTCTCTTTTAGACTGGATCGATTTAGTGTAGCTCAGGGTGGCCTTAAACTAACAGAGTTCTGTCTGCCTCTATCTCTCATGTGCTGGGATTAAAGGCATGTACAACCTGGTTAATATATATATATATATATATATATATATATATATAATCCCATAGTTTTAATGAGTGGCTGTTTGTTTTGTTTTGCTGTTTTCAGTCTAAGAAACTGCATGTCAGTAGCCTGTGCTTTAGTTAGGACTTGTCTTGAAATTCAGTAATATATTTTCTGACTGTGTCACATTATTTTTGTCAAATTATTTATATTTCCAAGACTGGATACCTCTAGATATAGATAATACTGCCTTCTAATGGGGTTATTGTAAGTTAAACCAGGTGTGTGACTAGCCTGAGACACTAGTGCTCAGTGTTAGTTCCCTTCTCTTCTGGGGGTTAAGGAAAGAATGAGGAGGAAGGGGAAAGGGGAAGAGCCAGAGCCTGGGTGCGGCATAGTCCATTTTTTTTTTACAATAACCATTTTCAATGGTCTTAGGTTGTTATTGTATTTGTAATGCTTAGGACAATGTTTGTCACAGAAATGTGGTAGGCATTGATATCCACTGAAGGTAGACACAAGTCTCCCACTTGACTCACTCATGTATAGAAGAGAAACACTAGACTACATTAATTCTGTAGTAGGTAAGCTAACCAGGTTGTGTGAGTTGGCATCGGTGACTGAACACAATGGCTAACAAGCATACAAGGCATCCCATAAACCCAGTGGGGCAAAATAAATTCTGTGACAGAGGAGACCAGTGAACGTATATACCTGGAAGGTTACACCAGGTGGCAATTCTCTAAATTTCTATTTTCTGAATTCCTACCCTCATTTCCATTTCCAGAAAAATATATTTTCTCACACTACAGACCATGATTGATGAATCTTTTACTGAATGTGGGAGGATGCTGTACTCTTAATATAAAATAATTCAACCCTGGGAAGCATCTAAATACAACTTGATGTGTTCATTCAGATGACATGACTGGATACCCTTTGGGCTAACTAGGGAATGGATAACATATGAGCAATTAGCCCACAGTTTCCCATGTGTTATTTGCACAACACTCCAGAGCACCAGGCATTTCTCAACAACTTTTACACTCTATATAATATTATGATGAATATTTCCCTTTGTTCTCAGATCACTTTGGGGCCTGGAGCAGGGTGATGGAGCTGATGACCAGTGATAGGAGCATTCCTTCTTGTCTTAGTGTTTCAAGTAATCACTGAATGGGATAGTAATGATGCTTTATACATCTGATAAAGATTATGATGGGTTTTGCCTCTTTCCTTGTAGATCAAAGAAAGACCTACAATTACTACAGCACATTGCCATTCACAAGTGACAAGCTATATTCTGAGTTTGGAAGAGAGGCTTCTAAAAATTTCACAGAAATGAGCCAGAGAATTGAAACTATGGTGAGTAGCTTTTTCTCTATGACATGGACCATATACTTCTGAAATAGCCAATCAGTTTATTCCCTACATATCTCTTAAAATTTATAGGAAGTCATACATAAGGAATCAGAAACAAAAGTCACAGTAGCTGACTTAGAATACTCCATCAGCAAGGCCAAACCACGTAGCATCTAGCCATTCATTAATGTCTGTTATTTTCTATGCTTATTATTACTTTTGATCAACACAGTGAAGAAATTCTGGAGATGTGAGATTGACCCAGAATAAGGTTCTTTCACACAGACCTCCATTCTAGGGGAAAGTCTCTGAGCAAAAGAATGTATCGGTTAAAACAATCCAGACCCATACACAAACACTATGTTTTACTTGTAGACATATCTAATGCGCCAGTTTGGTGCATAAGGCATTAGTCAATCTGGGAGAGGAGACAATAGCTAAGAAAATAGAAAACCAGTGGCACAGACCAAAAGGAGAAAGCTCTGAGTGGTGAATTCCCATCACCATATTATCTAGACAACAACTAAAAAAGTTTCTTGGCCAGTGAGATAACGTAAGGTATGATGTGATGGAAATAAAACTGAAGAGCAAATTCTACCATCAGCTGTCAGTCAGTGACATATCAGTATGTGGCAGATCACCTTTCATTCCAGACAAATATCCTTGTGTGTTAATTTCGGTATTAAATTAATGTAATTTGCAAAATTGTCTGCTAGTTTCAATATTCTGAATAGGAACAGAATGGAAATGACATGTCGGCCTATTTTTGTTGCTACAGTAAAATGTTTCAGTAGTTTATTTCCAATGAATGGAGGTTTATTTTGGTTCATGGATTAGAAAGTGCTAGGTTGTAGGGTTACATCTGATGATGGCCTTCCCTTCTTGGCAGATTCAGCAAGGGGCCTTACCACATCACCAGTCAAAAGATAGAGAGCACCTGAGTAGTGAGTCTCTTCTACTCTCTCATTTTCTTCCAACCCATCAGAATTCAGTCTGGGCTCTGCCCTAAAAACCATATCTAATCTGACTCACCTCCCAAATGCCCCACCTTTGAACACCATGATTTTTCAATTTCTTACTACATTACAATGGTGATTAAACTTCAATGTGAAGCCCTGGGAGGCCTTGCAACTATGTCTAAACCACAGACTTTCCAACACCCTTTCACAGAAACTGTGGAGCTCTCTGAGATCCTGGGGACTTATGTACTCAACAGGGAAACATTCAAAGCAGCGCTTCCCTAATGTTAATACACTTGTAAAGTAAGGAAAGGGAACAGAGCTCAGAAAGTCCACATGTCACTGTATCCCTTGTTTTTTGTGCCATTTGCTAAAATAAATTTTCTAAGTTCCAAATTGATGTCAGTCTACATGAATAAATAATAATTTTGAAATTACTTGATAAAAATAAACCCTTAAGTGAAAAATTCCAAGAGACCCAATACAGGTCATATCTGTACTATTGTCACTGTAGCATCAGTTCTGGAGGGCAGATTCAAGAATCAAGGAAATATAAGAACAGAAGAAAAAATTAACTCTTTCTTCAAAACACTAGTTTGCACTCACTGTGTCTCAAGAGTATCTACACACTGAAAATAAATAACTGAAATCTTGTTCAAGTCCTGAATTTTAGAGTTTTTCATTTAAACTGTTGATAGCAAGAAATAGCTTCACAAAACTACTTCTGTCATCTTACTAGACAAACTTGGTAGCTGGGGTTTTTCAGAACTCCAATTCATGGGACTTAGAGCATTTTCAGTGCTGAGCTGGGCACTCTGTATGTGAGCACACTTAGTTACTGTCTCCTACAGCACTGACACACATCTTTTCAACAACCAGCTGTCACTTAGGACAATTACTTCATTACTTTTCCAAAACATGAGTCCAAACAATTTTTTTCTTTTAAATCATTTTGCTCAGGCATTTTGTCACAGTGATAGAAATTTAAAAAATTAAAGTAAATGCTTCATTTTCTTTGTCTGTCTCCAGTAAGAGTTCTTAACTCAGGAAGTAGGGGGTGAAGTGTCTTAAGGAAACTGCATGCTCACTGTCTTTCATATCCTTGTGAGCAGAACTTGTAGGCCCGCCCTGGCCTCAATGTGACTGTCCTTCTGAATACAGAGTTGAACTCTCAGCACTGGTAGGAAGCCAAAGAGGAGTATTCAGCTTCAGTACATTGTGAATGTTCTCAATGCGTTTTCTTTGTTTGCTTGCTTCGTCTTGTACTTTAATTTTCTCTAGAGCATTGGATTAACTGGAAGAATTCCCGAAACCCGTTCTTTCTGATGTGTTTCAAATGTCTTTAAACAGGTGAAAAATGCATTTTATAAATCTCCACTGAGGGGACAACTGGTCAAAGCTCACATTATCAAGTTCAGGTATGTAGATGGAAGATGTCATTCTGGATTTAACTTAATGCAGAAATTGTTTTTTAATGCTGAAGCTTCTAACTTGGTCAGTAATAAATATATATTAAAATACTAATGATATGATGTGATTAAGTTTAACAAGCATTTATTCACATGCTATATGAATGAGCTAAAGTGTAATTTATTTAGTCTCTAATTTGAAAATGAACATTTGCAAGATGCCTGATAAGGGCAGAGGTATAGACTAATTTAATAGCAAGCACTATCCTGGCAAATGAGATCTTTATGTCTTCATGTTATGTATTACCCACCCCCATCCTAGTTAATTTAGCCTATTTTTTCCATTCTATATTTTTATGCTCCAAACATTTACCTAAGAGGATTTCAGAACTCTTATTAATTACTGCTAAACAGCCAAGGTCAGGACATAACTTTATACTGTTGTTGCTTTGTGTTGGGGACAAGGTCTGGTTATGTAGCTCAGGTTTGCCTTGAACTCTCAATCATTTTGCCTCAGTCTTTGGATTATGAGTGTGTAATTACCTGGCAAAGCAGGGTAAGCACTGCTTATTGTATTATCCAAATGGTACCACTCTAAATTAATTCCCAGTCTGTGATTAGCTGATATCTCCGAGGCATCATTTTGATGACTTTCTCCTGAAGAATTCTATACCTGAGATAGAATCCTTTTTGGGTATCTCTCTACTTCTTAAATTTCCATTCTCTTTAAGGGTACATCATCCACATGACATCTTATGCTATTGGCATCTAAAGTTTTATGTCCAGTCTGAATGGTTTTCTTGATTTCTGTAACTGTTTGCCTGTTCCTGCACACCTGGCAAAAGGCAGCATGGTGAATTTCCTAACTCAAGAAGAATTTAATCACACCACTGAGAGACCTGGAGTTGCTACACAAGCCTGCTTTCCCCAGGCCCCTTAGTTCATAAAATAACTAAGCATCATCGGCTTTATTTCCTAAGTCACTTTCCAGCTTGGCAACTCGTCTTAGCCATCCTGCTATTGCTTGTTCTTCCTGCCTTTGGTGCTGGAGCCAGAAGCACAGGTTTGGGGGAAGCATGAGCACATAGAGAATATAGAGTTAAGACACTACCTGAGCTCAGGAACAGAGAAGGTGAGTCTGATTGGATGGAAGGACAGGAAACTGAGCTCAGTAATGCCTAAGTGCTAGGAAAGCACAGTGTTATAGAAAAAGAAAACCAAAGAACCAAGCACAATAATCCTGCTCACAAACTTCCTCCCTCCATCACTTCTTTTCTTTCTCTCCCCACTCTCCTTCCATCCCTTCCTTATATTTTTGGACAATAGTAAAGAATATGATGGAGTGTCTGCTCACATGCTGCTGATCTTCCGAATTCGCTCTACTGAGGACCCTGAATCTGTGCACCAAATTGTTGAACATGTTCTGCATGAAAAGCTGAAACACGCTACAGGACCCCCCAGCGTTGATCCCGAATCAGTTGAAATTAAAAGTAGGCTGCTTTGCTTATTTTCTTACATAGTGTAATTCTAAAATAGCTTTAAGCATTCATTTAAAAAGTCCTTTGTCCTTTAATTGCTGAGGTCCGGACAACTGTAAGTTATTGCTTTGGAACTAAATAATATTAATGAACCATTTTCATCCATGAAAGTGTTCTAAACATAAGCTTCCCACATAGGTTTCCATTATCTCCTGAGAAGTGTCTTCATTGTGCCTTGCATGAGGACACAGAATCTAATTGTCCATGGAAAAAATGGCTTTGAATAGTCTTCTGTGGCTTGTTGCTTCCATCATATGTTCTGAGAATATGATGTAGGGGGAGCTAGCTTTAACATACTTTCTCATGACCATTTCCAGTGAACAACTGTGTTTCACATATATTCATTGTTGTGTGTTTTACAGCTGTAGGTGAGTAGGTTGAGGGAGATATTTTTGTTTAGTTTTTCTGGGACCACAGAGGACTATGCAATAATTTCATAGTTCATGCCAGTACAGTTGTCCACTTGGTCCATGGACTCCATATCCACAGAGTCTGAAAAGCATACTATTTTCATAAAACCAAAATATTAAAAAATATTCTTTCTGAATACAACACTTTCCTTGTTATTCTTTAAGAATGTAAACAACAGCTATCTGTATGGGATTTATATTATCAGGTACTCTAGGTAATCTAGAGAGATTTAAAACATATAGGAAGATGTATACGCGTTACATTCAAATACTGAACCATTTCAGAGCATGGTTGGTGTTTTGACATCCTTGGGAATGTCCTTACACTAATCCTCTGTAGATGCTGAAGGACAACTCTATTGCAATGAGAATAGTACACAAAGATAAGCTGGCTATTTCTAGTTCACTTCCTCATACGACACATCCTTTCAAAGCTTCCTGTCTTTGGCTTATTGATGAGGAAAGAAAGACTGTGTAGAAAAAGGACTATAGATTTCTTTATCTTTATTTCAGTATGGTTATTTTTCCTACCTTTATTTCAGTATGGTTATTTTCAGCTAAAACAATTAGCTAATACACGCAAGGTGTCATGTTCATTGTGCTTATTAGAATGTCATTGCTTTCTTCCTGGGATTTCACAAATTTTTAGTTCAAACACAAACATGCCCTTCTCTATTGCAGTGCCCCCTCCACTTTTGATGTTGAGTTTAACACACTTGTTTTCTACTCGTTTTGAGTCTTGCTATGTTGCCACATGTTGTATGATTACCAGAATTCTGACTTCACAGAGCATCAAGACTGGTACATGCAAGAGACATGATGAACACACAAATTCTATATGCCTCCTATGCTTATAGTGTGTTTGAATATCACACTGGACTTCCCTTTCAAAATGAACGTTGCAAGATAAAATTATTAAGAATTTCAGGGTAGTAACAGAATGACATGAAAACAAGCACATAACTATTTGTAGTATGGGAGCAGATAAAACCCAAACTTTTAGAAATAAGTTGAGATAGAGAATAGATTATATGAAACAGACTACTAAGTAACTGAATAGCAACTGAGGTTCAATAATCAGTCTCCCTATGTCTTCTATTTCCACCAATGGCATGGTGGGAAAAAGAAAAAAGAAAAAAAATGTTGGGGCTGGAGAGATGACTCAGAGTTTAAGAGCATTGGCTGCGTTTCAAGAAGATCTGGGTTCAATTTTCAGTGCATATTTGCCTGTAACTCCAGTTTCAGGGAATCTGACACCTTCACAGAGACACATGCAGGCAAAACATTAATGAACATGCAATAAAAATAAATAAATTAAAAGGAAGAATGCCTGTAATATAGATCTCAGTATGTAAAAATTATTAACCAGAAGAAAAACTAATAGATTAATAGGGATTTGCATGTAGAGTACCTGTCCTGCTATATGTGTTCAAAGAGAATAGTTGGTCCGTAGAAAACTATTAGGTCAGGAATGTGAGCACTTAGGCTATTCTGTACGTCTTGCTTGAGCAAGTGTTTGTATATGACTAGGTCCTTATTGCTGAGTGTACTGAGGTAAGGATGTGGCTGAGTTGAGTGGGAAACTGTGGGCAGTCTTGTATCTAAAAGCCTAGCAGAAAGAAAACTTGGAGAGGAGGAGCATTATCCTTAATTGTGATCATGGAGTTGAGCATTGTGACACACACACACACACACACACACACACAGAGAGAGAAATGATGCTTGGTAATATTATAGTTTAATTTAATATTTATCAAAGAGGGGCCATGGACTCCCAGAATCTTGTTTTCTGGTATAAAACTCACATTCTTAGTTTTCAACACAAAACTTACAAGTCAGCGTTACTGAGAAATGCAGCAGTAATCTACATTATAAACAGATTACCTGTGTGCTTTTTATTCATACCTGAGTTCCAGGCGCATTGTTCATGCTCCGTCTCCTCTTTGAAACAGTAAAAAATGCATATCTGTGATAACCTAACTACATTTCTTTCCTTATAACCCAAAGATGTTGCCTTAGAAATGCAGCAGCTTATCTAGTGCTAAAATCTCAGACAGTGAAGATTCTGTTATGCTCACCCGGACCCTGTTCACCATTTGTTTGTATTTCAGAAATCAACAAGACAGAAACAGACAACTATCTCAATCATTGTAAGTTGAATGTATTTTTTAAGATTGCATTGCCTGGTTGGAAAAAGATAATGTCCAAGAACACTTGCAAGGGCTTTGTGTTGAGAATGCAGAGATAGAACAGAGTTTAGATGGTAGCTCATAACACTATTTTGTCTCTGAGATCTGAGATCTGCTAAGGAATAGCAAAATTGGGAGAACTTCATATTGGTTGTACAGGTGCCTGTGTCCATGGGAATGGAGTGAGTTGCACAACTGTTAGAGAAGTAAAAATATTCTCTTTGCATGTGTTTATATTCATGTTTTTCAACATATAGCATTGAGCCACATGCTGTTATTTTCCACTTAGAGATATAAACTTAATGTCAAACTACTCTACATAAAGTCATCTTGATATTTCTTGTTTACAATAGAAATTGCAGATAATTGTGGATTTGTGGAATATTTGATAAAATTAAATATGATGAAAATTTAAAGGTTTTGATTCTAGACCTAGTCCTGAACTCTCTCAGAGCAGACCAGTCACTGTGGCACAAAGAATATATTTAATGGTTACACAATTGGTAGGACATTTATCATGTTTTTTTTTAATGGAAGGAGGGATTGTGATATGACTCTGCAGGTAAAGGCACTTGCTGCTAAGCCTGATGTCCTGAATTCAATCCCTAGGACTCCCATGGAGGAAGCAGCAGACCAAATACTGCAGGCTGTTCTCTGGCCAACACACACAATAATAGATACACACATACATACACACACACTAAGTAAATAAATGTAATTAAAATTAAACTGAAATCTCAGAATATTGATTAGTTTATAAGGTTCACTAAGCCTAGTACCAAAGTACAATCTCATTATCTAAATAACATACTCTTGCCACCACTTACAAGGTTCCATGTTAGCCAAAAGGGTTGCAAAATGGGCTACATATACCTGCCCAAAGCAGCTTAAATCTCACAAGATGACAAGATGAATAGGAGTTGACTAAATAAAATGTTATTATTTACAGAATGATAAAAACATGAGAAAATGTTGGATCTATTGGATCACACAGTAAAAGAAAATTGGGATGCTTAAACAACTGCCAATTACTGTCTCCTGTCTACTTGGCAGGTTGTGGGACACGGCGTAATAAATCTACAGCACAGACAAGTCTCAGGATTGTTGGTGGAACACAAGCAGAAGAGGGAGAATGGCCATGGCAAAGTAGCCTGCAGTGGGATGGCTACCATCGCTGTGGAGCAACTTTGATCAACAGCACATGGCTCGTGAGCGCCGCTCACTGCTTTCGAATGTAAGTCATGAACTTTGAGGATGGAACAGCAGGAGAATGCATGTGGTTTTTTTTTCTAAGCAAGGAGATTTTATTTAAAACATTGTGACTAAGGTATATATAACATCATGTGAATGCATGTGGTTTTACATTATGTATTCATGAATTTTGAGAGAAGTAAGTTTGCACAAATCCAAAAATAATATGTTCATCAGAAAACGCAGTGGGACTCTCAGAAAACTTAATAGGAGGTTTTATAGTCTCTTGAAATGAAAATGGTATCAATGTTGTGGTATAATTACTCATTGAGAAATTTATGATAGTCTTCCAAAGAACATAGAACAAATTTTGAGCTTGTTATAAAAGAGAACTGATCGTCACTAAATATCTTTATAAGAGCCAAAGTTGGACAGATGATAGTTTTGATACCTATGAGGAAATTCCAAGAAGAAAGAAAGCGATGTATGAAGCCAGTTGGAAGTGTCCAATTTTACAACTAAGTAGTTGATTTATGTTAGAAGGAATGTTGACTTTTCAATGTGGCATAAAGATATTGATAATACCCACAGTAGTAATGCTTTCTAAAGGTATGCATGACCTCTATGGATTTCAGAAAAATGTATATCCTTGCAGGAAGAGGATGTGGAGCATGTAGAATATATTTACTTTTATTCTATGCAGAATTTTCTTTTCATGTGTTCCTTGTGGGCACTTACAGCAAAGACACCTGGATCTGCAGTGGACAGAATGATTCATGGTGTGACATGTAACTTAGGAACAGCATTCCTTGTGGCTTTCTCACCCAGCTTGAACCCAGATCTCAGTTTTCTGACTGGGAAGTTTATTTCTGTTGATATTAACTACAACTTAAAAAATTAAACTTTATACTGATTCCTGCAGATAAAACAATTCTTTATACATTATTACATTGATATAATGGTAAGCTAGAATTTATTATTACTACTATTTTTTTGGTAGGCATAAGGACCCATCCAGTTGGACCGCTTCCTTTGGGGCAACAATACAACCTCCAAAACTGAGGACAGGTCTCCGCAGGATAATTGTCCATGAAAAATACAAATATCCATCACATGACTATGACATTGCACTCGCAGAGCTTTCTAGGCCGGTCCCCTGCACAAATGCAGTGCATAAGATTTGTCTCCCTGATGCAAACCATGAATTCCAGCCAGGGCAGAGGATGTTTGTGACAGGATTTGGAGCACTGCAAAATGATGGTGAGCATCTGAAGGGAAAATCAAGTCACAGTAACCTAATTGGGAGTTCCAAGGCATTTAAAGAAATGAGAGTTATGAAAAAAATATGGTGGTTGTTCCTGTGGACTCAGGCTAAGGCAGGCTTTAAGCCATTTAGAAGATGCATGCATTCTTTCTTGCTTTCAGCTTCTATTTATTTGCATTGCTGTTGTTACTGTAATGATGTTGTAAAGTATGTGAAGGAGCAAACATGCCTGTTGGACACTGAATTTCTTTTTCCTTAATGAATATATGCATCTACAGGGTGTGTGTGTGTGTGTGTGTGTGTGTGTGTGTGTGTGTGTGTGTGTGTATATGCTCAGTGTGTTCTCTGGTGTGAGTGTGTGTATAGGCCAGAGGATGATGTCACAATGTTTTTGCTCATCCTTATCAACCTTATTATTTATTTAGAGACAGGATTTTTTTTATTCTTCTCTCGTACATTACATTCTGACCTAAGTTTCCTCTCCCTCCACTCCTTCCACCCTCTGCCTATTTCACCTGTCCGAGATCCACTCCTTCTCCATTTCCATTCAAAAAGGAGCCAATTTCCCAGGGATAGCAACTGAACATGGCATAACAAATTACAATAAGACTAGGCACAAGCCCTCATGTCAAAGTTGAGGTTACAGTAGGAGGAAAAGGATCCCAAGAGCAGGCAAAAGAGCCAGAGACAGCTCCACTGCCACTATTTGGAGTTCCAGAAGGACACCAAACTGTGCAACCATACCATGTATACAGATGACTTAGCTCAGGCCCATTAAGGCTCCCTGATTGTCACTTCAGTCTCTGTGAGCCCAGGTAATCCCTGTTTAGTTAATTCTGTGGGCTGCGTTCTCATGGTGTCCTCGACCCCTCTGTCTCCTATTCCTTTTCTACAGAGTTCCCCAAGCTCTGCCTAGTGTTTGCCCGAGGGTCTCTGAATCTGCTTCTATCACTTGTTGGATAATGCCAGTCTGATGAAAATTGGGCTAGGCACTGATCCATGAGTATAGCAGATTATCATTAGGAATTGTTCCGCTGACTTTTTTTGGCAGTTGTGTTTGGTTCTATCCTGGATGTCTGGGTTGTCCAGCCTCTTGTTCCTGGCCATTCAAGCCATATCAGGTGTGGGATTTCTCTCGTGGCATGGCATTGGTTGACCACTCCCATAAGTTCTGTGCCACTATTACCCTTACACATCTTGTAGGACACATTGTATATTGAAGGTTTTGTGGATGGATTAATGACCCAGTTCCACTGCTGGAAGACTTGCCTGGTTATAGAAGATGGCTGGTTCAGGTTCTGTAACCATCATTACTAGGAGTCTTTACCGGGGTCACTCTTGTAGATTGCAAGGAGTTTCCACTGCATTAGGTTTCCACATTGCTCCCCAAATGTCCTCCAAGTGCTCTCTCCCTACTCTCCCTGCACCTTCCTGATCCTACCTGTTCTCATCCCATCTACTCTGAGTCTACCTAAAAAATCTATTCTACTTCCCCTTCCCAGGAAGATCTGTTCATTCACCCTTGAGCTTTTCTTGTTATTTAGCTTCTGGGTCTGTGGATTGTAGCATAATTACCATTTATTTTTTTATTTTAAATAGCTTGTTTTACATGTCAATCCCAGTTCCCTCTCCCTCCCCTCCTCCTGCACCTCCCATACCCCCAGCCTTCCACCCTATTGCCAATTCCTTCACATAGGGGATATCTAGAGTCTGTCATTTCACTCAGGGTAGGGTCCAGGCACTCCCCTAAGAGTCCAGGCTGAGAGAGCATCCCTCTTTGTGCTATGGACAATGATGTTTGTTTGTATTCCAGGGATAGACACTGATCCACTGCTCAGGGCCCCATAGGTTGCCAAGGCCTCCTCACTGACACTCACATTCAGGGGGTCCGGATCAGTCCCATGCTGGCCTCCCAGCTGTCGGTCTGGGGTCCAAGAGCTCTCCCCTATTCAGATCAGCTGTCTCTGCTGGTTTTGCCAGCCCATTCTTTGCCAATTTTCTCATCGCTCCTCTCTCTCTGTCCTGGGTTCCTTGGGTTCAGTTCAGTGCTTAACTGTGGGTGTTTGCCTCTGCTTCCTTCAGTCACTGGATGAAGGCTCCAGGATGGTTATAGACATCAAGTTCATTGTCAGGAATGGGCATTCGAGGTGGTCTCTCCACTATTGCTTAGTTTGCCAGTTGGTGTCATCCCTTTAGATCACTAGAGGTCACACTGGTGCCTGATCTGTCTTCTAACCTATGATTCCCTCTTCCCCCTATTCTGTCCCCCACTCAACCTTCCTGTTCCCCCATGACCTACTCTCTCTTCCTCTTCTTCTCCTCTCTTCTTCCCAGTTCCCACTCCTCCCCACCCCTTGCGTGTTCCCCATCTGTTCAGAGGATCTAGCCTCATTCCTCTTCTCTTGGGTACTATGCATATCTTTTAGGTTCTTTCCTGTTTCCCAGACTCTCTATCAGTGGAAGTGCAGACTGGCACTATCTTGATCCATGTCTAAAATCCATATATGAGTGAGTACATACCATGTTTGTCTTTTTGCGATTGGGTTACCTCACTCAGGATGGTTTCTTCCAGTGCTTTCCATTTACCTGCGAATTTCAAGATTCCATTGTTTTTTTCTGCTGAGCAAAACTCCATTGTGTAAATGTACCACATTTTCTCTATCCACTCTTCAGTTGAGGGGCATCTAGGTTGCTTCCAGGTTCTGGCTATTACAAATAATGCTGCTATGAACATAGAGGAGCAGATGCCCTTGTTGTATGAATTTGCCTCCTTTGGATATATGCCTAAGAGTGGAATTACTGGGTCTTGTGGTAGATTGATTCCCATTTTCCTGAGGAATCTCCATACTGCTTTCCAAAGTGGCTGTATGAGTTGGCACTCCTACCAGCAGTGGAGGAGTGTTCCCCTCTCTCCACATCCTCTCCAGCATAAATTGTCTTCGGTGTTTTTGATTTTAGCCATTCTGACAGGAGTAAGATGGTATCTCAGAGTTATTATGATTTGCATTTCCCCAATGGCTAAGGATGTTGAGCACTTTCTTAAGTGTCTATTGGCCATTTTAGCCTCCTCTGTTGAGAATTCTCTATTTAGTTCTGTACTCCACCTTTTAATTGGATCCTTTGGTGTTTTGGAGACTTGCTTTTTGAGTTCTTTGTAACTTTCGGAGATTAGCCCTCTGTCAGATGTGGGGTTACTGAATATCTTTTCCCATTCTGTGGACTGCCTTTTTGTCTTGTTGACTGTGTCCTTTGCCTTACTTTTTAGTTTCAAGAGGTCCCATTTGTTAATTTTTGATCTCAGTATTTGTGCCACTAGTGTTATGTTCAGGAAGTGGTCTCCTGTACCAACTCGATGAAGAATATCTCCCACTTTCTCTTCTAAAAGTTTCAGTGTGGCTGGATTTATGTTGAGATCTTTGATCCATTTGGACTTAAGTTTTGTACAAGGCGATAAACATGGCTCTATCTGCAGTCTTCTGCATACCAGTACCCAGTTCTGCCAGCACCATTTGTTGAAGATGCTTTCTTTTTTTCCGTTGTATAGTTTTAGCTTCTTTGTCAAAAATTTAGACATAGATCTGGGGAGTGCCAGCCTACAATCCCATGGCCAGAGAAACTTCATTTAGTGGCTGATCGAAGAAGAGGCAGACTCCCTCGGTTAAGTGTTGAGCTGAACTCAAGAAAGCTAGTAACAGAGAGGGAGGACTGATGACCAAAGGGATTAAGACTGGGCTGGTTTAACCCCCAGAAACAGCTGACCTGACAAAGGTTAACTCTTGAATCCCAGGCATCAGCCTGGGAATCCAGCATGGGACTGATCAAGACCCCCTGAATGTGTCAGTGAGGAGGCCTAGGTAATCTATTGAGCCTTGGGCAGCGGATCAGTACCCATCCCAAGTATACACACGGACTTTGGACTCCCATCCAACAATGTGAGGTGCACTCTCACCCTGAACTCTTGGGGAAGGGTCTGGGCCCTGCCCTATATGAAATGACAGACTATGGACACCCCCATGGAGGGCCTCACCCTCCCTGGGGAAATGAGGGGATAATGGGGGGGGTTGGGAGGAGGGCACGGGAGGAGGGGAGGGAAAGGTAGAGGGACCTGGAACTGACTTGTGAAGCAACCTTGTTTCTTATCTAAATTTAAACCGAAAAATAAATTAAAAATAATAATAATAAAAAAAATCACAGTAACAAAAAAAAATCAAGTGTTCATAGGTGTGTGGGTTAAAATCAGGGTTTTCAATTCGGTTCCATTGGTCGACGTGTCTATTTTTGTGCCAATACCAAGCTGTTTTCAGGACTATAGCCTATAATAGAGCTTGAAGTCAGGTATGGTGAGGCCTCCTGAAGTTCCTTTATTGTATAGGGTTGTTTTGGCTATCCTGGGCCTTTTGTTTTTCCATATAAAGTTCTTTCCAGGTCCTTGAAGAATTGTGATGGAATTTGGACAGGGATTGCATTGAATCTGTAGACTGCTTTTGGCAAGATTGCCATTTTTATTATGTTGATCCTACCAATCCAAGAGCATGGGAGATCTTTCCATTTTCTGGTTTCCTCTTTGATTTCTTTCTTTAAAGACTCAGTTTTTGATATACAAGTCTTACACTTCCCTAACCTAAAGAAGGATATGACTATGAAAATACAAGAATCTTACAGAACACAAAATAGGCTCCACCAGAAAAAGAAGTCACCTCACCACATAATAATCAAAATATCAAACCTACAGAATAAAGAGAAAATATTAAGAGCAGCTAAAGAAAAAGGCCAAGTAACATACAAAGGCAGACCTGTCTGAATTACACCTGACTTCTCAATGGAAACGATGAAAACCAGAAGATCCTGGATAGATGGCCTACAAACGCTAAGGGAACAAGGATGCCAGCCCAGACTACTATATCCTGCAAAGCTTTCAATTACCATAGATGGAAAAAACAAAATCTTCCATGACAGAGCCAGATTTAAACAATACGCATCCATGAATACAGCTCTACAGAAATTGCTAGAAGGAAAACCTAGATCCAAGGAAGATAATAAGACACACGCAATATATAATCCCACTTTACAAAACACCAAAAGAAAAAGGGAGGAGAAACTACACAAAATAACTTCACTAACAATAAATCAAGCACAAACAAAATCATCAATCAATGGTCATTAATATCCCTCAATGTCAATGGTCTCAACTTGCCTATAGAAAGACACAGACTAGCAAAATGGATAAGAAGACAGAACCCTTCCTTCTGCTGTATACAAGAAACACATCTCAACATCAAAGACAGATGTTATCTCAGAGTAAAGGGTTGGGAAAAGATCTTCCAATCAAACAGTCCCAAGAAACAAGCAGGTGTAGCAATCCTAATATCTAACAAACTAGACTTCAAATTAAAATCAATCAAAAGAGATGAAGAAGGACACTTCATATTCATCAAAGGAAAAGTCCATCAAGAGGAAGTCTCAATTTTAAACATTGACGCCCCAATACAATGGCACCTACATTCGTGAAAGAAACATTACTAAAGCTCAAATTGCACATAAATCTCACACACTAATAGTAGGAGACTTCAACACTCTGCTCTCACCACTAGACAGGAACTCCAGACAGAAACTTAACAAAGAAACAAAAGAACTAATAGAAGTCATGACCCAACTGGGTTTAGCAGACATCTATAGAACATTCCACCTGAACACAAGGGGATATACCTTCTTCTCGGCACCACATGGAACCTTCTCTAAAATTGACCACATAATAGGAAACATAGCAAATCTCCACAGATACAAAAAAATTGGAATAACCCCCTGTATCTTATCAGACCACCATGCATTAAAATTAGAATTCAACAATAACACAAATCGCAGAAACCCTACAAACTCAGGGAAATTGAACAATGCCCAATTGCACCATCCCTGGGTAAAGGAAGAAATAAAAAAAGAAATTAAAGACTTCCTGGAATTCAATGAGAATGAATACACAACATACACAAACTTATGGGACACTTTGAAAGCAGTGCTGAGAGAAAAGTTTATAGCACTAAGTGCCCACATGAAGAAACTGGAGAACAGTCATACTAGAGAATTAATAGCACAGCTGAATGTTCTAGAACATATCATTATTTTTAACAGCTGAGTAATACTCCATTGTGTAAATGTTCCATATTTTCATTTCTTCTTTTGATATTTTGATACAAGGTTTTTCTGTGCAGCCTTTGCTGTCCTGCAACTCTCTTTGTAGTCTAGACTGATCATGAATTTGTAGAGATCCACCTAACTCTGTCTCCCAAATGCACATTTTCATTATCCATTCTTAAGTTGAAAGGCATCTATGTTGTTTCCAGTTTCTGGATACTATGAATAAAGCTGCTATGAATATAGATGAGCAAATATCCTTGTAGTAACAAGGAGTGTCCTTTAGGTATATACCTAAGAATAGTGTAGCTGGGTGTAGTTTTTTTCTCTTTGGTGTCCTACCACTCAGCTTCTAAATATATCCATGGAGAGTTATTCTTACTTCTAAATGCCCAGTCTTAGCTTAGCTTGTTTCTAGGTAGCTTTTCTAACTTATATTATCCCATTTATCCTTAGCTATTTTTTGCATCTAGGCGTTTTCCCTTTCTTTATATATCATCTTTCTTTCCTTCTTACTCCATCGCTAGCTGTGTGACTACATGATTGGCACTTGGTATCCTCCTCTCCTCCTTTTCTCTCTCCTTGCTCTTCTCTGGAGCCTAGATTTTTCCCCCATTTATTCTCTCTACTTGGGCACTCCCATCTATCCCTCTCCTGCCTAGCTATTGGATGTTCAGCTCTTTATTTGACCCATCAGGTGTCTTAGGTAGACAAAGTAATACAACCTTACAGAATTAAACAAATGCAACCTAAAAGAATGCAACATATCTTTGCATTATTAAACTAGCATTCCACAGCATAAACAAATGTAACAAACCTTAAACTAATATTCCACAACAGCTGAGCCTTGTGGTATATTGATTCCCAGTTTTCTGAGGAACCAACCTCTATATTGATTTCCACAGTGGCTGTACATGTTTGCACTCCTACCAGCAATGGAGGAGTGTTCCTCTTGTTCCACGTCCTTGCCAGCATGAACTGCCACTTATGTTTTTGATAGGATGTCTTAGTGAACCTAGATCTAGCTGTTTCAGCTATACTGGCAGCCAGCAAGCCTCCAGAATCCACATGCCTCTGTCTCCCCAGCACTGATGTTTCAAGCATACGGTGCTATACTAGGCTTTTGCCTACTGAATTTTATACTAGACAATTGGCCACATGAGAAATTAGGGTTTGTTGATATACCTAATTGTGAAGATTAAGTAATCATACAGCTGTTCTCCACCAAACAAAGTCACTAGTTATAAAGTTTAAACTAGTTAGAGAGAGATCATCAAATATTACTGTTCTTAAACACCCCCCACATGTATATTGCCATCTTATCTACTAATCAAAGCAGATGTTTTTGAGGTTTATAAAATACACGTATGTATAAAGATGACTGTCTTTTCTCAGGTTTCACCCAGAATCACCTTCGGCAAGTACAGGTGGACTACATAGACACCCAAACATGCAATCGACCTCAATCTTACAATGGTGCCATCACTCCTAGGATGTTGTGTGCTGGCTTCTTAAAAGGAGAGAAAGACGCATGCCAGGTATGGGCTTGCCTACTAGTTTAGTATACAATGACTTGAGAGCTGCATAGATTTCACAGAAGGAGGTCACATGTTCTCTTTTAAACAGCTTGTGCTGCGTGCTATTTAATTGTGTGTGTGTGGTATGTGGACATACATGTAACACAATATTCATGTGGAAGCCAGAGGAAAACTATATGGGGCAGATTCTTTCCTTCCATATGCATGCTTCAGGGACTGAATTCTGGGAGCTTGGCTTAGTGGTACATGCTTTCCTTCTCTGAGCCTTCTTGCCAGCCCTCAAGTGTACTCATTACTCAGTTTCCTGTGGTTGCATTACACAACTATGATAAAACTATAGGGAGATATAGTTATATAAAATCTGGGGAGCAGACAGTGGCACAAAAAATGCATCCAGGTACATGCCTAAGACAGATTTTTGGAATTGTCATTCTAGTCAAGATGGAGTCTATTCCATTACTGTGAAGATCTACATTGGGTAGTAAACTTTTGCCCTCCCCTGCTATCTCTAATTTCACACAATTGCTATTTTTCTCTATCTCTTTAATCCTGTGATTTTCAGAATGTTAAATAACATCACATAATTACTTGTTTTGGAATCCCATTTGTTTTATCTGTTTCTACTCTTAACTATTTCTTCGTAGAAAAATGCAGCAATTACTCTAACTTGTTTGCGTAAATACATGTATGTGATATATACTTTATCACAGTCCACTGCTATTAAAATTTATTCTTTTGAATGTAGTGTAGAATAGAAAATATACCTTCTTTAAAATCTCTATCATCCTTTTTTATTAAATATTAATAAGTATAAATATTTAAACTTCTTTGTGGAGAGCTGCATTAGGCAATGTTTTCCTTTATTGCTAAGCATAGGTCAGGTATTCAGGTAGAGAAGAAAAATCTGTTTACTCAAAGATTTTCATGTCCCTTTCCTTTCTAAGATTCCTTTTCTGTTTTAGGAACTTCCTGTAACCATACTTTTGATGTAGGTCTGTTGATGACAAGGTTGTTATTATTTCTGTAGAATAGTTTTGCCAGATAAAAAGTTTGAGACTAATCATTCTCTTTGGGCCCTTTCATCATGGCTCCCTTGATAGATGAGCAGAGTCTACAGCCATCAGATTTGCCTGTACACATCGCTCCTGTCTTCAAGGATTTTCCTTTGTCTGTACAGAGGTTTGATCCTCTGTCTAAGCATATATGTCCTTGTCTTTATTAATCTTGGAGTTTGCTCAGTTCTTCTGAATCCATAGGCTTATGTCCTTTGCTAGCCCAAGGAAATTTTCTTTGAATTTCTTTTTGAGTTCCATTTTCTGCCTCCCTGTGTTCTGAGACTTTAATGTGATGTTTCTGGTGATAGTTCCAGAGGTTCATGAATTCATTGTTGTTTCCACTTTCCTTTTCTCTGTTATTTTCTTGGGTGAATTCTTTACTTTGAGTCTAGTCTCTATCCTCTCAAAGCCTTTCTTCCACAAAGTTTATCTGCTGAACTGTGTTTTAAGTTTTGGCTATTAGATTACTAAATTCTGGGGGTTTTATTTTATTCTTTGCCGAGATTTCCTTTATTTATTATTTCTTTAGTTTTCCATTCATCTTATACACTGAGATACTGTGACTTTTAGAAATGGTTGCTTTAAGATCTTTGTGTCACCTCAGAGCTGCTGTTTAGATGTTGCCTTCCCTGGTTCGTCACAGAACGATTAAAGTTTCAAATGGATTTTGAACACTTGACTTCATAAGACTCTTGCTGCTAAATTTTCAGTATTAGTAGATCCTGCTGAGGCCACACTAGCAGAAGGGTAGTGTGGTCATTGCCTTTTTCCCAATTCAAGGAGAGTGCCCCATTGTGTCTTCTTTTAGATGGAGTTTCAGCATCACAAAACCCATTAGGAAGCTAAAACAACACTGTCACCTGGATCTGGTCTTTCTCATCTCAGTGTTATTTGGCAATTTCCTACTTTCTAAAACAAGATCTTTCTTTGGGTTCCATGATCCTGATTAATGAACCCAGCCCATGATCAGGTTCCACACTGATTTCTCCCTTCCCTTCCATCTACTGATATTTGGTTTCTTACTCTAGTTATCATTCTGATCGGTAATCTTTGTGCCTGAGAAGTCAAGATTCAGGTCTCATGTGAAATTTTCTGCTCTTTCTCTATGCACCTTCAAACAAACCATCTTAAAAAATGAGCTGTCATTGCTTAAGTGACTTCCCCAAAGCCATATCTTCCAAATTAAACTCTTGTCTAAATTTAATCTCAAATCTCCACATACGTCAAAGCTATTTCCATTAATATGTTTTAGGCTGTTAGTGTGAGACGAGGTAAAAATTTAATTGCCATCCCAAACTCAGTAGGATTGTGAAGTGCCATTTTTAAATACTTATTTTTTAAACTATGTGTATATGTGCAAGTGAGTGTAGCTTCTTGTGGAGGCCACAAGTGTTGGATATCCCCGGAGCTTGCGTAAAAGACCTTTGTGAGCAGTGTTTTTGAGTACTAGAAACCACACTTGGTCCTCTGAAGAGCAATACATACTCTTAGAAGTTGAGCCACTTCTCCAGCCTCAAATGTTAAGGTCTCTGCAGATTTCTAAAGCTATTGTCTGTGTTCCTTATCTAATAGACTATCCACCACTTTCTGGTAAGTTAGGTCACATTAATAAGGAGACAACCCGAAGAAGGAATGATATGGTCTATGGTCAGCTGAATCAGCTAAGTCCACAGTACTATTTGTTCTTCAGCTGAATGGACTTTCTGTCTGTGTTCTGAAACCGGAGGCCAAACCAACTCCTCTGGCAGCAGAATGCCTTTCTGTGGGCAGCTGCATCACTGTGTATTTCAATATCCTGATGAGTAGTTGGCTTTGTTTTTTTCTCTCTTTGTGGGCCAGCTACCTAGTTCCCAAAGAAATACATGGAGACTTATTCTTACTTATGGCTGTGTGGCTTAGCTTGGCTTGTATCTGGCCAGCTTTTCGAACTTAATTCATCCCATTTCTCTTTAACTACGTTTAGCCTCTTGGTCTTTTACCTTTCTTTATTCTATATACCTTTCTTTCCTTCTTACTCTGTGGATGACTGGATGGATGGCTTCTCCTTCTCCTTTTTTGCTCCTCTCTCTTTTTCTAGATTTCTCCTCCTATTTATTCTCACTGTTTGGCAGCCCTGCCTATCCCTCATCTGCCAAGCTATTGGCCATGAAGCTCTTTATTAGACCAGTCAGTGTTTCAGACAGGAAAAGTAACACAGTTTCAAAGAGTTAAACAAATTCAGCATAAAAAAATGCAACACGTCTTTGCTTCATTAAATTTCCCACAGCCTGAACAAATATAGCACCTCTTAAACTAATATTCTACAACACTGAGGACTTGAAAACGACTAGGTTCACTATAGTTTATCTTGAGTAAATAAAATTTCTGCCTTTGTAAGCTGAATTACAAATAAGAAATCTTTCCTTTTTTCCTTAGGGTGACTCCGGAGGACCACTGGTTGCTTCAGATGTTAGAGATATCTGGTACCTTGCTGGTATAGTGAGCTGGGGAGATGAATGTGGCCAACCCAACAAGCCTGGTGTTTATACTAGAGTGACTGCCTTCCGGGACTGGATTGCTTCCAAAACTGGTATCTAAAGCAGAAATACCCAGTGGGATGAAATGGATGTCTCTGTCTGTAGGCCGTTCTTAGAGGTTCTTAGAGTCACAAAACTGCAAAAAAGAATTTATAAATTACGAGGACCTGAGCCATCATCCTGAACAATCAGAAGTGTATATTCCTTCTCAGCCTTGCTCTTCACATGAGCGTCTTGCTGCTACAAGATGGACTCTGCCAACCTTCACGCTTTTATTTTCTATGAGTTTTCTGTTGCCAAATTTTTGATTTGTTGCTCCAAAGTACTCACACATTCAAACAACTTTAAGTAACCCTTCCCTTCATTTCATCAGCTTCTCTCATATTAGTAAATTTCTACTTTTCAAGTGCAAGATAAAGAATGAAATAAAATGGAAAAAAGCTACATTTTAATGTACAGAAAAGCATTAAGGATTTTAAAAAATAGAATGTAGGAAGTGATCAAATTTATAATGAAAGACGAGCAAGCAGATGCAGCAACAGACTGGTCAAAATTTCATGTTGGAGAGGAAGTTGAAGAAACAGAAAAACTATTATATAGTTTAATTTTCTTCCTAAATAGCTAACAAGAGCAATATGAGAATGATTGTTTCCTGTGACTACAATAATCACACAAACTCTTTGTAATGTACTTGTCATGAACAAATCAAAGAAAACAATACTTATTTGCAATCGATATGCAGAGGACGTCAATACACAATCAGCAATGAATTTACTTGCTTGACATTACAACATGAAAATTCATGAAGGAATGAAGGATGAGTAGAGTCTCACTAATACATTTACTGAACATTAGGTTTGAAGGTAAATGAAAACTTTATTTCAAAGTAAGCAGGATACCTTATGTTGCAAAATAGTTGTATAGTTGAGTAGAATTAAAAAGATTAAGTCTAAACTAATGACTGTGGTAGGATTATCCCTAACCTTTTCCAAACTTCAGCTCTTGACTGGAATAAGGTTGAGATGTTGGCGTGTAATAATAGTCACATGATTGTTGCTGGAACTTGGTCTCCTACTTTGATATTATAGCAGACATGCTTTCCCTGCTGTAAGTTTCAGCCTGGGCAGGAAAAGTGGGTTTGTTACATCTGTCAGAGCTGAGAGGTCACTCAACTGGGATGAGACCACAGGGAAGGCCTCCTAGAAGCTGCATCTACATTGTGCTGAAGTAGTATCCCCTTCAACACAAGACTGAAGAGAAGAAGCCATATGTTTGCCTCCTTTGTGATTTCAGTTTGATATGCTATTACTGAGCCAGTAGATAGCCTAGATCCAAATGATCCAGACCATCATGAAATTAGGACTGATGACACGCTCAATGAGATGTTCATGCTAACATTTCACTAAGACATTAAGAAGCCATCTCCTCATTGTATACAGACTATAAAAGAACATATAAAGATCAAATGGATAACCCCTTTGAAAACTCATGTTATCATGAAAAATATTGACTTATTAACTCAAATAATATTCACATTATCAACGGATAGCATTTATGCACTTTTCTAAAATAAGACGTGAAAGCTTCTTCCAGAAGACAGATGCTTGGTTCCTAGCACTCACATCGGACAGCTCTTAATACATGTAACTCCAGTTCCCAGGGTACCTAACACCTCTGGCATCCATGGGCATCTACCCACATCACCAAGACAGACATACACACATACAGAGAGCAGGAGAAATAGTCCTTAGAGAAGAGAGTGCCAATTGGTTATCCAAAACCAAATGGTCAGCCCTTAAAACATACATGAAAGTAGCATTACACAGGATGAGCAGGTTGTGCTTATATATGTAGAAATTATATATATATATATACATATATATATATACAATTGTTGAAAAAGAGACAATGAATTTGCAAAAGAGCAAGAAAGGATAAATAGGAATGCTTGGTGGAAGGAAAGGAAAGAAATGATTAAAAATAAAATAAAATGAAAAAATCTTAAAAAAAAAAAGATTTCCAAAGTATCCTACTCTTGTGAGCCTCTAGGTGGCACCCTACAGCTGTGGGAAGTTACAGGGAAAGCCTGACTGTAAAGAGACTTGCATTTTTCAAGAATCAGTCAAGTAGAAGTAAAAATTCTGTAGCTTGGTCTCAAAAACCACAAAATAAAATTTATATTTGAAAACATATTTATAGATTAATTCATGTTAAGTCATTTATTAGTACTTTACAGATTTCTGGAGTTTGGGTTCCAAATTAAAAGTTAACATTGCATGATTTGAGTATCTCTATAAGCTAAGTTCTAAGGATTCAAGTTAAATATAAATTTTAGAGATTTAAGTTTTATGTTGGCATTGTGTTCCTTAGACAAAATATGTAGCACCTCCTTATACAAAACATTTAAAGAGAGAGGTTCATGTCACAGGAAAAAATTAAATTATTCAAATGTTGTATGAGGTAGCCAGTAGAGTACCGTATTGCTAAAATAGTAACATCTTTTGAAAAATAATATAAAGTGGGCTTTATTGTTCTTCAGGATATCAGTGTTAACAATATTGGGGGAGGTTAAGGAGTGGTGTTTGCAATATTTATTAATTATACAGAACAGGCATTTCTCTTCCATATCTTTTATCCCATACCACCAATGAAGTTTACCCTATGCAATATTCTTTCAATACATGCGATTTAATGGCTCTTCCATTTATTTAGTTATGTAGAAGACATAGCTTTATTCTATAGTCATGTGCCACATAACAATATTTTCATTAGTGACACACCACGTGTAGGGTGGTGCTCACTTAAGAGTATAATGGTGCTAAGAAGTTTCTCTAACCTTCTGCCATCGTAGCTGTCATAACACTGCAGTGCCCTGAGTTAGGAGTATATTTGAGCAGACCCACTACTCAGAGCAGACACTGTGTCATATGAAAACATAACAAGTTAGCACTTAATAATTATAATGAATGACCCTTAACAATCATTCATGTATTCTGTAACTTTTGGTGCTAATTTAGGTGTAACCTTATATTAAAAAGTTCACTGTAAAACATTGTGCCATGTTATGCCCACCATCATCATTGCACACCTTACGTTGAGCAATCGACTGCTCTTGTCTAGTTTTGCACGTGGGATGTGATATTCGCTGATGTTGACGAAACAGTCTGTGATTCTTTTTTCAGAATGCATCCCGTCAGAAAACAATGCATGACTGCGCTTGCATTTGGACTTTTAAAACTGGTCATAAAGTTTGTACTAAGTATACAACTGAAGCTGATTACTTAAATAATTTAAACCTAAATCACTTATCTATAAGGAAAAGAATATTTATTCACATAGTTTCTTTTTTAAAATGAATTCTTTGTGAATTTCACATCATGCCTCCTGATCCCACTCATCTCCCCTTCCCCTCCATCCACCCTCTGCCCTTGCAACCTCCCCCCTGAACCAATACAAAATTTATAAAAAACAATATAAAAGAAAACAAAATAATAACAACAAAAATCTCAGTGTGCCTCAGAAAGTCACACAGTATACCTGTTAGTCCATACGTCTGTACTTGTAAGTGTTCATTGCAATGAGTCATTATTCTGGTGCGAGGACTCTGGTTTCTGCTATGCTGTTGATACTGGGTCCTCACTGGGATCCCTCTTGGATATTTTACTGTTGCCTTGAGTCATGGAGATTCTGTAGCCTTGGATCTGCAGGTCCGACCCCTTCACATGCTCCAGCTGTTCATAGATGTGGAGAATGTTGGGTTGTGCTAACTCATAGGCCTGGTTCTGGGTCTGGCTGGTAGCTGGGTTGGTCAGCCTGCCAGTTTTTCCTCATTTTCACCACCTGGGCAAGTTCTCCTGCATTGCCCCAGCTAGTTCACCCAATGCAGCAGACAGCAATGCAGGGGCCAGTTCAGCTCTCATGCCCTCAGGTCCAGCTCACCTGCACCCACACCAGCAGGGCCAGCCCCACTGTTTTGTTCAGGTGAGGAGCAGGGCCTGCTCTGTAGAGTGCTGTAGTTGGTGAAGGGTGGGGCTAGTTCTCTCTCTGTCTGTCTGTCTGCCTGTCTGTCTGTCTTTCTCTCTGTCTCTCTCTTTCAGGAACTCAGGGCCAGGTCTCCTGCCTGCCACAGGTGGCAAGGGGTAGAGAGGGAGGGCATCTTTCTCTCATCCATGTCACCATGTGGTATTTGAGGGAGGATCAGGGGCAGCTCTCCTGTTCTCCCATCTACAGTGTTAGCTCACCTGAGCCCAGCAATCAGTGTCAGCTCCACTGTGCTGCCTGGATGAGGTACAAGGCCTGCTCTCCTGACAGCTGTTGCCAGAGAAGGACAACAGCGGTTCTCCCAGTCTCCTGACCTCAGGGCCAGCTCTTCCACCTACCCCAGATGGTGAGAGGTGGGGGAGATGGAAGGTCATCTCTTCCTCACCCACTGCACCGAGTGACAGATGAGGCATGGTGCCAGATCTCCCATGCATGTTCATGGGGTTGGATCACCTGCCCTCCCTCACCAGGGTCATCCCGGCTGTGCTGTCAAGCCCACTCTCCTGATGCCAGTTTCCTGCCTGTAGTAGTTGGTGAGGGTGTAGGAGTGAGGGACAAGGGTTGATGAGTGAGGCTGGTATCTCTCCCTCACAGATGCCACCATGTGACAGACAATGGAGCTGGCTCTCACACTCTCATACCTTCAGGGTTGGCTCACCTGTATTCCAGACAACAGGGTCAGCTCTATTGTGCTGCCCAGGCAAAGGGCAGGGTCCACTTTCCCAAGTGCTGCAACTGGTGAGGGGCAGGACCAGTTCTCCCTAGTGTTATCGTCAGTGAGGAGTGGGGCCAACTCTATGCAGCCATATCCTCACTGCTTTCGTGGTATCAGGAGGCATGGACATCAACGCAGACCGAGGCTGCAGACCAGACATGGCCTTTGGCAGCAGCCCAGGTCGGGATGAACACCATGGCCCCAGGTGGCAGCACAGGCCACTCAGATCTGTATGGCTACTTCAGGGACTCGGCTATAGACACTCACATGGCCCTAGGTGGCTGGTCAGACCCCTGATGCCCATGTGGCCCTTGGTGGGAATATGGGCAGTGGCTAACAATCCAGACCACAACTGCAGTTGGGTCATGGACCCAGAGATGATCCTTGACAGCAGTCTGGGCCCACATATCACTATGACCCCAGTTGACAATACAGGTCACTTAGATAGGCATGGAAACAGTGGCAGTGTGGCCTTTGAACCTCCACATGGCCTCAGGTGGTGGCCCAGATTCTAGGCATCCATACAGCCTTTAATGACAACAGGAGCCTCTAACATCAACAAAGACCCTTGCTGCAGCAGGGCCACAAACTCAGACATGGCCCCAAACACAGCTTGGATCCTTATGACACCATGACCCCAGGTGGCAGCACATGTCACTCACATCTATATGGACCTGGTAGAGGTACATCCCTCAGACACCAATGTGGCTACAGGTGGAGTCCCAGTTCCTGGGCATCTGTGCAGTCTTTGGTGGTGACATGGGTCAACACAGACTCAGGCTGTGGTAGGTCCACAGACCCAGACATGTTCCTTGGTAGCATCCTAGACCCAGATGTCATTGTGGCCCTAGTTGGCATTGTAGATCACCCAGACTGGCATGACTCCAGTAGTGGCATGACCCTTGAATGAGCCTAGATGGTATGGACATCTGGGCCAACATATTTGCAGGTGTGACTCCAGATGTGTTTGGGAATGCTGTAATTATTAACTGGATTACTACCATGTAGGTCTTATGTAGACAGTTATAGCTTCTGGGAGCTCATGTGAGTAATGTTATGCCATATCCAGAGGAAAGCAACACCCTTCCCCATCATTTGAATTTTACATTTTTTCACCATCTCTTCTGAAGTGCTCCTTGAGTCTCGGGTGGGAAGTTGATATAGATATCCCTCTACAGCTGAATACTTGGTCATTTGCTTTTAGTACTTTGCATAGTGATTTGTCTCTTCATGAACTAGTGCTCACTGCAATGAGAAGCTTCTCTACTCAAGACTGGGAGCATCACAGATACTCATAAATATTTACAAAACATCTTAAAACAAACCTACTTAGGAAAACAACATCAATAGGGTCTTCACTGGGGCCTATAACTTCCCTAGCCATGGGAAGGGTTTTTTCTCCCAAAACTATTGTTAAAATAGTGAAGTTAATATTGTGAAAATGGCCATCCTATCAAGAGCAAACTACAGATTCAATGTGATTCCAATCATGAGACCCATAACATTCTTTACAGAAATAGGAAAAACAAAATATTATAAAGTTCATATGGAAATGTAAAAGATTCCAGAAGGCCAAAGCAATCCCAAACAAAAAGAGTGATGCTGGATTGATCACTATACTGGACTTCAAAGTGATATTACATGTTTATAGAAATGAAAAAAGCGTGATACTGTGACACAAAAAACAGACATATGGAACATGACAAAAGACACAATCAAATAACACAGTATTGCAGCTAGCAAATATTTGATAAAAATACACACTGGAGGAAATATAAATCTTCAACAAATTGTACTTGGAAAACTGGAATGAAATAGACCCCTATCTATCATCCTGCATAAAAATGAACCCCAAATAGATCAAAGAACTTTCTGAGTAGAACCCCATTTGCTTAGGAATTAAGCTTAACAGTTGACAAATGGGACTCCATAAAACTTAGAGGCTTTTTTACAGCAAAAGAAACAATCATCTGAGTAAGAAGGTAGGCCACACAGTGGGAGAACATTTATTTTGCCAACTATACATTGGATAGAAGATTAATATTCAGAATACACAAAGAACCCAAAATAAACCTTAAAGTAAATGACACAATTAAATATTTTGCTATGGATCTTCTGAGAATTCTCAAGAGAAGAAACAAAAATGGTTAAGAAACACCTTTAAAAATGTTTTAACATACTTTGTAACAAGAGCAATGCAAATTAAAACTACGTTGAGGTTGCATCTTACTTCAGTCAAAATGGCCGAGATTTAAAAAAAACAAACAAACAAAAACCCTAAGGTACTCAGAACGAAGGCTGCCAAGGAACTGAGGAAAAGGAAACATTTAGTCACTGCTAGCATCATTGCAAATTGATGCAGCCACTGTCAAAATCAGTAAAGAGAATTCTCAAAAAGCAAAAAGTAGGTCTATCACATGACACAGGTCTACCA